CCTTTTTTTCCATCACTTTTTCGCTGCGCTAAACTCGAACCCTTTTCCAACTTTCATCACCAACAAATTTCGTATCTCCATCAAGCGTATTCCATCTTCGTTTATCGGTGGACATGGATATTTTGTTGCCTGCAATTTTTACCCATTTCCTTCTCTTTTTTTTGCTCTCGTTTATTTACAGCAGTATTTCATCGCCAGCGAGCATGGGTTGATGAGAAAGTCTATGATGCGGGTGTGTGCCAGGGGGGATTGTCTATCCTTTTTGCTGGCTTTTTTCGCTATGAGTTTTCGTTGGGGTTTCGTTTGGGGCTTGCCTTTGCCTGTGGTTCATGTTTCTGCTTTGGCGACCACACATTTTCTTGGCTCTGCTCCTGCAGCAGCGACAGCATTAAAGTTGGTGCATTTACGCTTGAGCTACATTTGACAGATACAGAGACCTGGAAGTAGAGCTGCAGATGCCACTATAGAGAGCTGGCAGAGACAGATACAGGAGTAGAAGCTACAGAGACATTTGTAGAAAGCAGCTGAATCCCACAGATACATACTTCTGCAGAGTGTAGATAGAGAGGTGGCGGCAAAAGAGGTAGCAGAAGAAACGCAGACTTTTAGTGGCCCCATTATGATGAGAGATGAAGGGACCCTTTCAGCACAGCAAAAGCTCAGCGCAGAGTTCATTACTTTTATGTGATTATGTGTCACCATGCCACCACCATGCCTGCCATGTGTGTTGCAAGTCCCGAGTGTGTCTGTGCCTGTGTCGGTGTCTGTGTGGGAACGACATGTCAGTGTGTCATTGGCATTATTATTAGTTTTTCTATAGCCCCTACTCATGCGGTATGGGAGAGGAGTATATACATATATGCTCTGCTCACTGTCTGTGTCTGTGGCACAAACTTGTCCCCAAATTAGTTACAATTATTTATGGCCTACGCTTTGGTTTTTGCCCGCTCCTTTTTTGGGGATGGCTTGTTGGTATGAGGCGTGGACTGTGCTTCCAAGGGATAGATTGTGGTTCCCAGAGATAGGCTGTAGTACCCAGGGATAGATTGTGGTTCGAAAGGATAGCTTGTGATTCCAAACGATAGATTGTGGGACTGAAAGGAAGGGACTAATCAGATGAAAGTCATGCGGGTTGAGCTCTTCAAGCATCCTTAGCATAGCCTTAAAGTTTGTTAATGTTGCCAAAAATAAAAACTACGAAGTATTCAGCTGACCCGAAACGAGTTGTCCGAACAGCGTGCGTACTGCTACAGCACTTGCCATTCATTATGGCCAACGTACATGTATTACACATATGCAGCGTTGTGCACTGAGAAAACATGATTTTTTGCTGTTCGCAGGAGGAGGAAAACATGACGGCAAGGGAGAAAAATTGAGAGGGTAGAGGAAACGCAGCAAAATATGGTGTGTTGAGGGTCTGTAGAGAGGGCAACGTGTGGTGCTGTTTGGTTCATGTTCTGTTGCCAAGGAAACGAAACTTAAAGCAACCGCAAAACGCAAAAAAGAAAAGTCGGAAACAAAAAATGTTTCATCGCTGTTACACTTTGCCAGAGAGCAACATGCAACATGGGAAATATGAACGAGACGACGATGTGAGAAAAGGTTCTCCCTGGAGGGTTGTGGATGGAGAAGGGCCGATACTCGCTTACGATTCGTAGTCGGTTTAGTTAACTGTCTGCGGGTTTGTGCTAACAAGACTCGTCAGTGATTTGAGTGTCTCAACTGGCTGGGAATGTCTGCTGCTGCTTGCTGCTGCCTCCTCCTACTGCATGTGAGTTTGTTATTTTCCCTGCGAAAGGAGTTTGAAATTAGCATAGTTAGGGCCAGAAGAGAGTTCAGTTCGTTTCTGATTGCCACAGCACTACACTTGGTAATGATGTGCCAGAGCTTGGCAAACGAAATTTAAAATGGATATGGAAATGCAATTCTTTGAGTGAATTTACACCGAATGTGCCTGCTAGTGGCAGTCCTCTGCCCGTGGCTCCCCCTTGTAGGCTGATCCATCTGTGTGTCTGCCATTTTTCTAGTCTATGAATACTAAAAGCTAAAAATATGGGTCATAAGTGGAGAGTTTTGAACCAACTTTAAAAGGAATACCAATTAAAATTGACATTTAATTGGTTTGGGTCGGTTTTTGCGGGTTCTTTTGCCTGTTCCCCAACATTCTGACACTCTCTTTTCTTTTCTGTTTGTTTTATTTTTTTTGGCAAAACTTGCCCGAAATAGTATTTCCACATTAATGGAACATTTACTGCTTGACTTTCGAAGCCTTTCCACTTGATGGCACTGCAAAATTTCACACTTTTGGTGGCCTACATTCGTCACTCCTCCACGTCCTTCATCAGAAATGTGTGCCATATTTTCGGCGGTGGCACACTACTTTTGCTCTATTGCTGCCAGATTTTCGGGTGTGGGGCAGCAGCCCCTCTTGAGCAGGCCTTTGCACTGCTTTGGCATTTCTTTGGTTTTTAGGCCCGAAAATCTGGCAAGAAATTCAGGTCAGCGGCGCTTAATGTGCCGCATAAGTGCCTATAAGTATGCAATGCACTTTTAGTCACACTCACACTCGTACACCCTTCCCCCTTCCCATTCATTCACACAGATACAGATGCTCTCGTGTGTGTGTAAAGGTGTGCCCTGGCCAGGTATAGCCACGCACAGATTGCGGCAACAAAACAAAGGCCCCCTCGCCCCCGTTCCCTACTTTGGCTCCATTAAAGCCGCACGCACGAAGAGGCCACGGCCTGCCCGTGGGCCAAGTGGCATCAACAACATACAAAAGTGTGATCCCACCCAGCCCCTGCCATAACCCACATAGCGGAAGAACACCCGCACCCCACCAACCCCTGGGCTGCCGGGCAGCCCTTGCGGTATTTATTTAGCCTATAAAGCTTCGGTGGGTTACTGCCGTCTCGCACAGCATCAAAGCGTTCAACCAGAAGAGAGCGGCGCAGAGAGAGAGAGAGAGAGAGAGCGAAACAAGTAACAAGGAGTTGGGGAAAGGAATAACGACTAGACGACGTACCCTGTCGAAAAGGGACGAAACTTGTTGAAGGAACTTACTGAAACAACAACAGAGAGAAGGGAGAAGGAATGGCCAAAAGGAATGGATATCTTTCCTTGTTAGGGCTGTAATAATTATCCATTTGCTACGAGATATTTAGATATGTAATTATGCCAAATCGGAAGTGCTTCAAAACATGAATACCATAATCCGTAACAGTCTTTCGATTAGTACGAATTTTTGGACACAAAAATATTCCAATTATTATCATCATTTAAGTGTTATCCCAAAGAACAGCTCACCTCGTGCACGTTACCTATCTTCCCCTGATCCCAAAACACCTCTCGCAACACTTTTCATACCGTTTATGAAAAGGTTAAACTCGGAAAAAAAGCATCTGTAAAATAAGCGGGGAAAGTCGAGCGGAAAGTGACACACAAAACCATGGCATAGCGGCAGCCTCAGCCTCAGCCTCAGCTCCTGCTCGTATGACAGTTCTGTCCGCCCAGCATCCTGGCATCCTGGCATCATCCCGGCTTGGACCCTCTACCCTCTCCCGCTCTGCTATGTTGACCTAAAAATCTCATTTGGCTGCCTGCATGCTCATTTCTGTGCTGTTCTGGCGTTCACTTTTGTTACTTTACTTTTGTCGCACCTCGTCTTGTTTTTGGTGGGCGGGCGGTGCGGTCTGTGGGCGGCTTTGTTTACCGGAAAACGCTCCGGGATAACTGCGGGAAAAATTCTTTGAAATATGGATGAAAAAAAAAGAAAACAGCAAAGATGTATTTCCAAGAGAAGTGTGTGTGTGTGTGGTGCGCAAAGGAAATGAAATTCGAGAGAGCTGCCACACCGCAACATGACCTAGAAGAAGTCGCATGTCCACGCCATATGGCAGGTTGGTGGCACATTGCCCCATGCCCCCCTCCTGCTGCTCCAGCTGCTCTTCAGTTAATTTCCTGAACATGACGAGTAACTTTTCCTTTTCTTTATTTTTTCTTGTTCCACTGTTTCCCCAACATTTTCAATTGAAAATCAACGACCTACAAACTTTTCTCGCACAAACTTCAATTTAATCAAATAATGCACAAGCTTGAATTGCGTCGAAATGCGCACGTTACTGACCACAGACTTTGGGTTTTAAATATTTAATGGTCACGTTTTACGATGGAATACATTTATAATATATATTTATCTCTACATTTTTTCATTGCAGGTAAGAGTTCGATGTGAAGAGGCCAGAAGGCAAGATGTAGAGCTGTAAGTAAAAGGCGATTAAAGGTCAGTGAACTTTTGTAGGAGTAAATGCTGAAGAGATTTGAGGGGTGGCAACAGAAGAGTTGTATTTTACTCCCATAAATAGTTTGATAAATATGGAAAAAGTTATATTTAAATAGATGAGCTTTAAACTTACAAATCCTTTCAAATAACCTCCAACATGTGAGCTTCCTTGGGCCAATTTTTCACAGTTTTCTACAACATTTTTTGTAGCATTAAAACCCGACACAAAACGTGCCATATAACCACCATTTTTCATTATTTTTCAAAAGCTCAGAGAAATGGTTATTATCCATACCACAGCTGGGACTGTGACTGCCACGAATTGTCGTTCACTAATTGAATTCAAATCGGATTTAATGTCATTTTGAGACAAAAAGAAAGAACACAAAATAAAATGGCACAGATATCATACAAGAGCAGGTCGCAACGGTGTTTCTTTTCCACTAATGCTCTCAGTCTTTCGGTCGCTCTGTGGCTCTGTGTCTTTCAGTCTCTCTGTGTTTCAGAGTCTCAGTTCCTGTCTCTGTGGAGATGTCAATCTAATAAAGTGCAAGTGAAAACCCACATTTCTCCATGGTTCCTCTCAGCGTCACTTAATAATTCAATGCTGCCCCCAAAAAAGACATTTTTTCTCATTCTTCTCCCTTTCCGCCTAATTTTTGTTGCTGCAGAAATGTGTCACATGGAAATCTAAATAAGCAAAGCACTGAAAAAGAAAAGCGAGGAAAATTGTGTTAGGGCCCGCGAAAAAATGATGGATGTGCTGGGGGGACAGAGGAACAGAGACAGAAATTAGCGTGGGCCTTAAAAAAAGCTTCAAAAGCAATCAAAATGACAACTTAAGTAGGCTTCCCGGCAGCAGTGGAAAAAAAGGGAGAAAAGCAGAAGAAAAACGTTAAATTGAAAATGAAATGATTGTGGGGAGGGGATGGGGTGTAAGACTTTTCCCTTGGTTAAACTTTACATTGGTTGGACGGACGTTTTCCTTAGAGTTTTCCTGCTTGGCTTCCTTGGGTTCGGCTGCCAGACCAGACGCTTTTTCTTTTTGGCAGAATGTGGGCTCAATTAGGGCTTAATTGTTTGTTTTCTCACTTGGCTGGGCGACTGACTGGGCGACTGACTGGGCGACGGGCTAGCCCGAGAGAGATCTGCTAATTGAACCATCAAAAGTTTTCTGCTGTGAAGTGTGAAAGGGCAAAAGATGTAATTCAATTTATTTATTTATTTCACTTTTTTTTATTGCAGCGCACAGTCGAGGTCATATGATTATGAGGCGGCAGCGGGGTTTCTGTCTCTGTCCCCAAATGGTGCATAAAACGTGTAAAATTTGGACCCAGAAAGGGGGGCAGGGTAGAGCCGAGCAAAACAGATTTTTTTGTTGGTTTTATCTAAGGGTCTGGTGTGGGGTGTGGTGTGGGGTCGGGCGCCCTCAAATGCCCATTTAACTTAATCAAGATTTTAATATTTAAAGCATTTCTCGGGCCTTAAAGTCTCAGTTCCTTCCCTCACTCTGACTCCCTCTTCTTTACTCCTTATCTTGTTCTAAGCTCCTTTCTCCACACCCTTTATCGTATATTTTCGTAGTGCTTCTCCTCTCTTCTTCCAACCGGCATGTGTATTGTTTGCTGTCAGCCAAAAAAGGTTCTGCACTTCCTTCCTTCCTTCCCTTAAAAACTATTCCTTAAAGGACAAGCAACATTATCTCTCTTACATGAGATGCTTGCCACACTTCAATTGCTTGTAAATGCCATACAATAGATATTGTACTATCCCCCGCTCCCCGCTCTTGTCCTTATGCACAAGTTTTTCGTTGTACATTTTCCCCCTTTTTTTTTGATGCGGCTTCTGTTGCTGTCGACTTGATTTTAGTTTTATGTGTTGCACATTTATTTATTTCGACAGGTTTTTTAGGGGCAGAAAGTATTCCTTCGATCCATCCTTTTTGTGGCCGTTGCTCTGTGTGGGTTTGTGTGTGAAAATCAATAAACAAAATGACAGCCAAATCCCCTAAAAGGTTGCACTTCACAGACGAAAGAGTGAGGGGAAAATTCCTGAATGAAAGGAATCTCTAAAATATTTAAATAAAGGTCAGTGGAAGTTGCCCAACTACCAAACCGGGTTCAAAGATTCTAGATTAAAGGTGGTAGCTCATGGATCCAAAGAGCATCCCAGACATTTATTTGTAGAAATTAGTTGCAAGGGATTTTTGGTTTTGGGATTTCAATGAAAATGGATTCGCATTTTTAAGGGACTTAAAGGGGCTAAAATATCTGCAGCTCTGTAGGAAAAACTCTTGTTTACAACGATAGAAAACTTTAACTATCATCTCGAAGGATGTTCAGTATCCTCTTAAATGCCTGTCACATAATTCAGTGCCATGCAAGTGCTACTAAATCATATTTAAAACAGATTAAATAGAGCAGAGAAGCGCACAGAACATACACTCGTAAATTATAGGGAAAAAGGATGTGGAGAAAGGGGGGACCATACCCGACAAGAGACAATTGAGTTTCCATCTGTGTGATGGGAGGAACCCAAAAGGAACAGTCGGAATTCTGGAATCCTGTCGGCTGCCAACAAATGACAAATTACCCAAGGCACAAAAATAAAAGCAGACAAAGACGATGCCACACACGCAACACAGACAGACGGAGACACGAACGACAGACCAGAAAGTATCTACTAGATGCAAACATGTGTTAACAGGGACAATAACAAGTTATGAGGGAGTTGCTTCCTCCACCCACTTTTCTCTTATTTATTTCCCCAAAACTACTGTGCAAATAATGAAGCGCCTCAGGCGCTTGAATCTCAAGTGGAAGCCAGTAAAACTTATAAGCATAATTCTCTCCAAAGACAGAGAGGGCGCAAAGGCAGGGGACGACAGCTTATCCCTCACACACACACACACACATTGAGTGCCAAAAGTATTTGCCAACTAGATTTTTGACTTAGCATTTGCGATGCGTTGCGCACACTAACATACATACGGCTGGTTCACTTCTCCACTTCTAGATAGAGTGAAAAAAAGAAGGCATGCCTCATGCTGATCCTCTTTGCGTGGCACACAGCACACAGCAAAAACTTTTTTTCTGCGCAAGAGACAGGCTTTAGCTTTCTGTGGCAAATCCTCGCGACCTTTTTGCTCGTCCCTTGCTTTACTTTCCCTGCCCTGCCCTTCTCTAACCACAGCCCATTAAGCGTTTGAGCAGCTTCTTGGAGGGGCGGCTTCATATGGCAGCAGCAGCGGCAGAAGAGCTTAACTTTGATTTCGGTGCCGCTCTTTCGCTTACTCTTCTGCCTACTCTTTGGCCACCACATTGGGGCCTCTCCTCCTTTTATGTTTGAGTGAGTTGGCCACTTAAATGCGCGTTAGAGCGGTGACACGATGTGCTGCTAGAGGCTAGAAGCTGTCAGGACTTTGACTTACAGGGGGGGATGCATGGCAAGGACCATAAGAAGGTATGTCCTTAAGTTGGCCAAGCTACGGGCTACCTTTAGGGGTAAAGTTTTTGCATAAGTAAGTACCATATGATAAGTACATTGGTAATGAAAGAAAGTTTTTGGCAAGGGGCAAGGAAATAGTGTTAATTATCATTTGAACAAGGAATCCCTGGGGTTTCCCCTGTAATCTTGTATCTTCAAGTGCTGCTCAAAATCTTCTCCAAAAAGTATTCTGATTCCTGTCCATAATTTGATTTATCTTAGTCATAGCTGTCGTATTTCATTCTGCGTATCTATAAACTCATAGATCTGCCACTTCCTTCGTAGGAAACTCTCTAACAATCCTTACTTCCTCTTGCCACAAGTCAAAGTGTCAATTCGCATGTTAAATCCTTGGCAAGCTCTAATGCTAAACTTTAAACTTGCTGTTACACGAAAAGAGCAAAGTTTCCCAGCCACAAAGCTAATGATAGTTTCTGTTGACTCCAAATTGTAATTGTCTCTGTCTCTGGATGGTAATTTTGTTGATGGAAATGCGGAGTAAGATGATGAGGCTGGCTAACTGATTAGACTTGAAGTACTACCTGCGGTTCGCCTCATTTTCAAATAAACAACAAAGTTTTGCTCCTTAGAGTAGGAAAAACTTATTTGCCAAGAAGAGCAACAGAACCTCTTATTAGCCAGGAGAGAGTGGGAGTAGGAGAGCACTTGCCTGATGTAGACTGAGAGATAGAGAGTAAGCAGAACGAAGAAGGAGAGCTAGAGAGAAGCAAAGGAAGAGGTTGCTGCTCTTCTTCTGTTGACAAACTGCGCCTCTCTCTCCTTGGAGAAAAAACCAAATTGAAAGTTTTTCTTTGCGAATTTGTGTATGTTTTGTGCACGAGTAGCACCCGCAGAAGAAGAACACTTGAAGCGGCACCACTTAGGCCCCCGAAACAACTTTATCGCTTAGGAAGGTCCGAGACCCCATCCCACAATGAGAAGTAGGTCTCCCCCCCCCCCCCCATTAAATCAAAGGGAGGAAAGCAGCAGCACTTGCTGTAATTTGTTTATTGTTTTTTTTATTAACATAATTGATTGCCAGATTTGTTCGCAAGAGAGGGAGAGGAAGACCGAGCAAAAGTTCTTATTAAAGAAAGTTGTGCAAAGGCAGCTGTGCCCCTTTTTGGTTGTGGCAAAATCAGTTGGGAAAAATCAGGAGCACGCCACTTACACTTCCTGGCTGGCCCCGGAATTAAGTTAGCTCTGCTTATCCTTTATCCTTGAGTGAGTTTTTCTCTACTCACGCCCTGCTCCATCGGCCCAGTCCCCTTCACTTGATTGATGACGCTCATTTGTGTGTTTCCCCTCTGCTTTGCCTGCTTCCTTCAGGTGCTGCAAAATGGTATTCCTCGTATATTGTATTTTTGCCTAATTTTAAATCAGTTTGCAATTTGTTGGGGGGGGGAGGGGGGATAAGGATATGTCTGCGGTTCCTGTCCTGCGGTTGAATATGGTTTATTGCCGTTGTGCGTGCTGCATACTTTTTGGCGCCTGTCCTGTCCCCTCGGCGCAGACTTTTCGTTATTTAGTCGTTAGGTCCTCCCACTCCCTTCACGATCTTTCTGCTGTTGTTGTTCTTTATAATGTTTAAGCACACTCACGGGTAAAGTTAACTGCAAGTTAACCAACTTTATTAATGTTTCTGTGTTGTGTGCGCCTCATTTTTTATGGACTTCTTTCTGTCTGCTGGGAGGCTGGCTTTGTGCTCGTTATTGTGGTTCCTGTTTATTGCAAACTTTTTCCAACAGGAAGGAGAGAGCGAGAGTTGTGGTACAACTTTTCTGTGGCTGAGCCTGCGAATTTTTGCCATTGATTTATTTTTATTACATTTTTAAAGTTTATTAACGGTCCTAGAGGATATTTTTTAGCTGGTTTTCCTGTCATACTTTCATCATTTAAATATCTTAGATTTATTCTTGTATATTTTTCTATTAGTCTTTTATTTCTAATTCCTAGAGTGCAACAAATAGTGGCAAGTTTGGGTAAATATTTTCCAAGCCATTTCCCCGGCTCTCAACCAGTCTCACGCACACACTTTACTTTCCTTTTTTGCCCTCTCTGTCTAGGGGCACTCTCTTGACACCAAATGCCACAATAACATATTTTTTTCTCCTTTTAAACACTTTTTCTGCTACTCAGCCAGGGAAGAATTTATAATTTTCTGGCAAGAAATTTGTCAAAGATTTCTTTTTTACCAAAGACATTTTACTTAAGCTCCAATAAACTACCGCTTCTTCCACAATCTAAAATGAATGTGTATTCATGCAAATCGTTCGAGTCTAATCTATAGAATCTATAAATCCTCAACTGCATCCAGTCCGTGCCCCTTACTTTATTTTTCCAAAACGCTGCCGCTTCAACGCCATTAAATGTAGCAACAAATGCAAAGCCAGCGAGTGCTGAGGAAATTGCTGGGTTTGCTCTGAAAAGCATGGAAAAAACATGTGGCTGTGGCTGGGGCTGGGGCTGGGCAAAACTCTGTTGTTCTACAGCCAGAGACCGACCCCATCGCGAATATTAGAAGTGTTTGCCCGCCATCATAACGCATTAAAAATTTCGCATCTTTTTTTAGCGTATTTTTTCCTGCTTTTCTCTTAGTCTGAGAGTTTTTCGCTCGGGCTTTTCTACTCTCTCTGTGGCCCGTCTCCCATTATTTACTCGGTTTCATTATGCACTCATTTCATTAAAAGTTAAGTCGCTCTTCGGGGCCCCAGCAGCAGCCCGACCAGCCGCACCAGCGACAATTTATTTCAATAAATTTAATTACCTCTCAGCGGAAGAGCCCGGAAAGCAGGGACTATTTTTTGTGGCGCAAACTTAATTTTATTTCTATTTTTTGGGGGAAGCAGCAGCAAAGCAAAGGGACACTGAAGGACTAATTCCCTTAGCAAAATGAAGTCCTTTCCCTGTGGAAAAAATTGTTAAATATATTTTTGAATCTTGTTTTTTCTCTATACACAATTGTGTGTCAGGGAGCCAGCAACAGAGGCAGGGTTGGGGAGTTTGGGTTTGGTCAAGTGTTGTAAAACTTTCATTACCTATTTGTATTACATAATTGCACTCATGTGTTGGTGTGTGTGTGTGTGTGGCACATGCCCCCTGGCCTTGCCGCGTTCTGGCATGCCCCACGAATTTTATACAGAATTTTGTTGTACGAAAAAGTTTTTACCTGGCTTGAAAAAAGAAAACTTTCATCTACAGTGCGTTGATAATTTGTTAAAAGTTTTTCCCACACTCTATTTCTGCTCGTGTGTGTATTTTCGTCTCTCATTCTGAGGGGTTCATTGAGGTCGTTTGTTCGGATATGCAGGATGGGAGTTGTCCTTTCATAATTGGTCGCAAAATTTAGTTCAACATTTAAATTGGATAACTGTGTGATTGAATTAGTCTGCAAAAATATGACAAATTAAGCAAGCGATAGTTTCAGTGACATTTTTGGCCATATCTAGATGTCAGTGACATTGCAGAATTTGATGTTCGCCCTATTGGGTGCCCAAATGAAGAGATCTCGATGCAGAAGGCTTCCACGCTGTGGAACTCATCATCGGTGCCACCTGGGAACGACCTGGCATGACATTGGGACGCTGGAAGACTGCAGCTCTCGATTGAGGAGCTACAGCATACGCCTGAGAAGCAGCAGCATTCGCCTGAGCAACCGCAGCACTCGCATGAGAAGCATGACGCGGCATTCCCTGCAAAGTGGCCGTTGGACCCCAATTGCACTGGCGCACGGGCTTCAGCATCGGCCGGGAACACGGGCCCGAGGTAGTGGCCATTGGCATGTCCGGCTTCTGGTTCGCAATGATGTCGCTCTTATCTTTCTTCAGTGGATCCGCAGTAACCTGTAGACGCGACATTCCCTTCAAGATGGCCGTGGGACCCAACTTGCAGTGCCGCAGCGGCGGCAGCATCAGCCGGGCGCACGGGCCCGTGGTAGTGGGCATTGGCATGGCTTGGTCCTGGCTCGCAATGATGTCGCTCTTCTCAGTGATGCTCAGCAGCTTGCTCTTTTTCGGCAGCAACCTTTGCACCTTCCTCCAGTCCGCAAGTGTAATGTCCTGTCGCTGCTCATCTTCCGCATATTTCTGAGCCTTTAACATGAGTCGCTTGGCCCTGCCTGCCATTTGGGGATGTGGACTCAGAGGGGATCTTGTGGCGAAGGGGACATTCACTTACCGTAGATAGACTCCAAGAGCTGCTTGCATGCCTGCGGCTCCACGGTGAGACCCGAGACGATTGATATATCAATTGCATCCTTGAGAAACTCTGCGTCAGTGTCCAAGTCAGCTTTCAGATTATTTTGCTCAGTTTTTGTAAAAAATATATTCATATTTTCGTCTAGTCTGTTTTGCTAAGTAATTTTGTATTAAATGTTTTCCGCAATCAAGCCAAATGACTTGCGAAAAACTCAAGGGTGGCCACCTACTGCGAGCCAGCATCTATCGTTTGCGTTTCGATTAATGGTGTAGCAGGGCAACCCTACCTTAACACGTCAGCACTTCAATTTTGTGTACTTTTAATATTTAAATGAAAGACTAAATCATGCGCTGGCTGGCTCATGAAAATTACTCTTTCAAATGCAGGGGCCACGCCCTCTGGCCACTGCCATTGTTTTCTAGCATTTAAATGGCATAATAATAATATTTTCGCCTCCCCGTCCCTCTATTGGTTTCCATGGGTTAATACCATATTCATGGCACATTAAATTTGCGTTAATTTGTTTTCGCGCATTATTGGAAATGCATACACACACGTTCCCACACACACGTACGCTCTGGTGGTTTATGAATGCTGGGGGATCCTTGGGCTTCGCATATGCTGGATATAATTTATTAATTACCCGCATGAAATTACAATTTTGCGCACAATTTATTTTAAATACGTTTCCCCTCCACTCACTTTTTTGTACTCGTTTTTTTTTTGCCACTCCTTTTTTCTCTCATTTTTTTTTTTTGCCAGTTTTTCGCGGCTAAAATGTGAAAGTTTTTTAAATCGCTTTTTACCACTCAAATTTTGGAGTTTTCACTCCCATTTATATGTGGGAGTTTTTTCCTCTCTCTCTCTTGTTTCCCTTTATTCTTTTCGCTTCTACCATTTCCTACAAATTAAAGTTTGCAGAGGAAAGCGACCAGCAGTGGGGAACATGTGTGTAATTCGCTTTTACAAATTATATATTTTTACGTTTGCTTTTGCTGTTTTTTACAGCAAGCAGTTACATCATTAGATGTGAGGTCAGGGGCAAGCCGAGAGACAAAAACTTGCCGCTTTGGTGGGACTCCCACCAGAGGTTTTGGCACCACAGATCTGGTACCTGTGACGGCAATATCCGGTGGTCCGGGACGTTTATTAACTGGTGGGATCGAAATAGGGATGGGCTTTGGAACGGACTCGACAGACACGGACGCTATAGTACTAACTGGCTGCATGTTCTCCGAGATGATCGATTCGGTAGCCGAAACTTGATCACCAGCAGTTGTCGTTGCCCTTGGAGTAGCGAACGAAATTAGCTGCTGCACTATCGGAGTGGACGGAGACAGTTGATCAGCAGCGAGCGGTCGAGGGACAGGCACTTGCAGATCACGAGGAGTGACTTTTTTGCGCCTAGGAGACTCATTCAGCACTTTAAAACTGCTGAATTGAGATTCCATGGCTAGAAGCCGATCGTACTGCTTTTTAAAGCCCACGGTCAGCTCCTTAAAGCCCTTTCGCGTCTGCCTCATAAACGTGACCATGTCATTCTCGATAGACCGACATGCCTCGCAACTGTAATGCAGACCATTACGCTTCGAAATTGCGTCACCCACGAGGCCTGAGAACCCAATACATTTTGCGTGCACTACGTTATCGCAGAGCCAGCAAGGGATGATCGTCTGGTCGTGGGTGATCTGCTTTTTGCAAGCATTAGCAGAGCACACAACCATGTATTCCATTATTTTATTATTTATNAAACTTGCCGCTTTGGTGGGACTCCCACCAGAGGTTTTGGCACCACAGATCTGGTACCTGTGACGGCAATATCCGGTGGTCCGGGACGTTTATTAACTGGTGGGATCGAAATAGATGGGATGGGCTTTGGAACGGACTCGACAGACACGGACGCTACAGTACTAACTGGCTGCATGTTCTCCGAGATGATCGATTCGGAAGCCGAAACTTGATCACCAGCAGTTGTCGTTGCCCTTGGAGTAGCGAACGAAATTAGCTGCTGCACTATCGGAGTGGACGGAGACAGTTGATCAGCAGCGAGCGGTCGAGGGACAGGCACTTGCAGATCACGAGGAGTGACTTTTTTGCGCCTAGGAGACTCATTCAGCACTTTAAAACTGCTGAATTGAGATTCCATGGCTAGAAGCCGATCGTACTGCTTTTTAAAGCCCACGGTCAGCTCCTTAAAGCCCTTTCGCGTCTGCCTCATAAACGTGACCATGTCATTCTCGATAGACCGACATGCCTCGCAACTGTAATGCAGACCATTACGCTTCGAAATTGCGTCACCCACGAGGCCTGAGAACCCAATACATTTTGCGTGCACTTCGTTATCGCAGAGCCAGCAAGGGATGATCGGCTGGTCGTGGGTGATCTGCTTTTTGCAAGCCTTAGCGGAGCACACAACCAAGTATTCCATTATTTTATTATTTATTTTGAATATATAAATAAATAAAATAAATAAAATAAATAAAAATTATTTTCACAAAACAAATAGCAATGGGACCAGTGTGCCGACCAATTGCTTAAAGAAAAGTTTAAAGCGGGATCGAAAACAGATGAGCGCAGAGAGGAGAGAAGAACAAGCGCAGCGGCAGCTAAAACAGTGAGCGCACGCCACTGCACAGAAAGTATTGAGAGCGAGAGAGGGAGAACAGTTACTCGAGCTATAGAGTGAAAGACAGAAGCGCAACTACAAGAGAGAGCGGTTAATAGTGAGGGCGTACTTACAACAAGAAAAAGCACAAACACACAACTAACCGACGCACAAATGAATACGATTTTAATTTGAAACAAAATAATAGGCATGCACTCGCGTATTAAGATAGTTAAGAAAAGCGGCAAGCTATTCAATAATTATAGAAGAATTATTTCGAAATAAAACCCGGTGTTTATTCAAAATATAAAGGAAAATACGGAGCGCAAAACAAAAACACGTCTGGTCACTACAAAAGAGAACGCACCCTTGTTATATACATTTTTGCTGTTTTTAGTTTTTGTTTTAAAATTTCCCACTGGTCTACATAATTATTTTCCGGCATTCTTCTCTTTGTTTTAGTCCGAAAGAAACTGCTGCTGCTGTGCTGCATTTCCCACTGTCTTTTGCATAACTAATTAAAGTTTTTGTTGCTGGCGCCCATTTCTCAGCAAGGAAGAGAGAGACAAAAAAGGAATAGCAGAGAGCCAGAAATTA